GAGTAAATTAGACTTTGCCAGAAAACCGCACAGACATCCAGGTACAAAGAACAAAGGAAAGGATTATTGCCAATAAAGGGACCAACAACTCTTCTCACAAGACAGAAGAAGTGAGAAGTGCCTGCTGTTATCACAGATGACCTTTATAACCTTCAAGATTTGGGGAAATCTTGTTGCCTTATATGATTATAGCTGCCCCAAAGGAGTGCCCTCTCAGGTGACCTGTATGACCTGTGAGGATAAGGGGATCTTGCTGCCTTATATGGTTATAGCTATCCCAAAGGAAAGCCCTCTCAGGTAAAGGGGGTAGAGGCTAGTCATTTACTGTCTTTACTACATGGGCCTAGTGTTGCCTAAGGAAAGAGCATGCTAAGCCATGAGAGAGGAGGCTACTGGACTAACCAAACCAGTGTCTTTGGAAAGTCATACCTCAGATATTGATGTTGTTTTGATAAGGAACTTCCACAGGGGAGCCTGAAGATAACACAGATCTAGTTCAACCCCCCCTTTTTTTAAATAAGTGAAAACACTGAGGCCTAGGAAGCAGAGGTCGCTTGCCCAAGGCCACCTAGCTGGTTGGTGGGTAGACACTGACTAGCCTATGAAGCTGGAAGATCTCATATTTAGTTTTCAATTTTTGAATGAGGTATTCTGTGCTTTTGTGGTGTAAGAGTTGCTCAGGCCTACACGTGTCAAGAAAGAACAAATTTCTCTTGGGTGTTTGCTCAGGTTCCCTCTTCTTTCTACCTGCAAAACCCTGCTTCCTGGTCACCTGTGCACAAAAACTCATGAACACACTACTCAGACCTGACTTTTCTGAGACATTCCATTCCAAATGAGATAAAAGTGGGCTTCTGTGTAATTGGTTCCTGGGTGGCTGATTCCTTCACTGCAGGCTGAGTCCAATCAGATAGTTCAAACCCCCACCCAATGGTAAACTCAAATGTTTGCATATCCTGTTTTTCAGATATAACCCAAATATGTTTGGAGCCACACCCATGAAAAGGCATCCACTATCCACTAGCCAAGACTAAAGCCCAGGCTATAAAAGGAAGCTTTTGAGGGGCTGGGAAGGTGGCCCAGTGGTAGAGTGCTTGCCTTGCATGCATGAGTGCCTGGGTTCGATTCCTCAGCACTGTTAGGTTTTTAAAAAGATGTAGCCAAGTAAGAACAGCACCAGCACGCACCTGGTATTCAGGTAAGGGGTAAGTTTATTCAGTAGACCTGCTGGGACCAGGCAAGGTTGGCACTCTACGTGGCTGGGAAAGGCTTGGGAATGAGAGAGAGCTGGGCAAGAGAGTAAAGAGCTAGAAAAGAGCAGAGAGAGAGCAGAAAAGAACAGAGAGAGAGCTAGAATAGAACAGAGAGAGAGAGAGTCTGGGCCTGGGCTAACCCTTATTTAGGGTATGGGCGGAGAAAGGTATGGCCACATCAAATTCAGATGTGACCTCAGCGGATGCAGATGTGGCCACATCAAATTCAGATGTGACCTCAGCGGATGCAGATGTGACCTCTTCCAGGTGTGCCAGTTGCCTAGGTAACGCAGGTACTGGGTGAAGACTTTGCTGCGAGGAGGGTGGAGTCTGCTAGCCATCCAGGAGCGGACCTTATAAGCACCACATAAGCAAAAAGAAAAAAGCCAGAAGTGGTGCTGTGGCTCAAGTGGTAGAGTGCTAGCCTTGAGCTGAAGAGCTGAGGGACAGCGCCCAGGCCCAGAGTTCAGGCCCCACAACCGGACCCCCCCCCCAAAAAAAAACAAAAAAAAAAAGGAAAGTTTTGAAACAAGGATTCCCTGTTATTCTGCTAAGTGACTTTAAAGAAGGATAATTTATGGAAACTGAGGCCTGGTGTAGGCAACTCAGAAATATGGTATTTAAAAACTTAAAAATGTTATCTTTGCTTCAAAGAGAGGAAGCTGAAAGCATTCTTTCCTAAGGGATTAATTTCTCACACAAAAATTCACAGCTGCCTGACAGGATGCCCCAAAATGCACATAGCAGGATGTCTCCTTGAAACAACAAGGATAAGGATCTGTTTTCTGGCAGGATGCATTCTTACCTGGAACACCAGGTGTAGTTAAAGCAAAGACAAAGCACCTAGCTTTGCATAACTTAAAGCCAGACCCCCCCCTTTACCCTATAAATACCCAACAGCCTAAGGAGCTGGTTGTGTCTCCTTGTGTGTGTCTGTGTCTTTGTGTCCCTATGAGAGCACCCACACTCTGCTAGAGTGTGTCCCTGCCCTTTTGTTTGTCTGCTTCTGTTTCCTTACATGTTTACTTAATAAAGCTCTGCCAAGTTTTCTTACCATTGTGACTAGTTTCAGAAATTCTTATTCTGTGAACCCAAAGTGAAGAGTTCCTACATTTAAAGAGGAGCTTCACTAAACCTCACCTCTGTCCGATGACAACTTCACCTGAATATGGATGCCTCCTCTTCAATTCCCCACACTCCTAGACATTTTTCCACACCTCCACCATGACTGTAGCCTCTGGACAGTCCCCTGTTATAAGGGACTTCCCCCGCAAACCTTTCAACAGCATTGCCCCATAAAGCTTGTGTGGCAGCCCCATAAAGTTTGTGTGTGCTACTGCCACCTGGTGGTCACAACTTTTCCCTGCTCAGCCCCCAGACCTTAAAGTCCTCTATCCTCATTTCCCTTGGTCTTGGCCTCTTTCAGAATTTCCTAGTGGGAATCCCCAGGTTGATGTTTAATCTAGTATACTAACCCATATCCACATATCAGCAGGGTATAACTAATTCACCAAGTATCCATCACTTGCTAAAACAGATGAAAATATGCCTGTACTGGATGGCATCCAGCAAGACAATGATGACTAAAACTTTCCCTTTTGGAGTATTTTAAAGATCCTCTGAAGTCAAAGTAAGGAAATAATTTTGATATGTAAGGGAATTTGTATATGCTCAAGGGGCAGTGAGATGGGGAGCATGGGCATGGGTTGAGCTTATAATTATGAAAATCACTGATAAATTTTCCTGGGCTTATGTACTGCATGAAAGCTGCATTTCCAAGTAGATCTTCCCAGACTTCAACCTGCCTGGCACATGTGGAATCTGGTTAAGATGAAGATACTAAGCCTGAAGTTTAACTCCCAAGCAATACTGACACTGCCAATCTATGGACCATACTTGGAGCAAAATAGAATTCTTTGTGTCTTGACCCTTCCAAGACTAATAATAGTAATAAGTTATATTATATAATTTTCAGGGAAATAGATGGACCTAGAAAATATTGTGTTGAATGAATCAAGTTAGGTACAGATAGACAAAGAGTGGCATGTTTTCTTTTCTATGTGGAAGTTAGACCTAAACTGTAAATATATATGAAAACACATACAGGCCATATGCATATATACATGATCAAGGTATATCTAAATTATGGAATATACAGGGATGGATTTTTATGGTATAACACCCTTGAACAGTTAACTGATAGTTTAACATAATGAATGCCAGGAAGTTGAAACATGTCTTATTTGAGGCAGGTCAGGGTTAAAAGAGGGGTATAGACAAATGAGGTGAGGAAAGGTGGGTGAATACAGTCATAATATTCAATGTACACGTGTAAAAATGATACAACTACTTAAAGACAATAGAAGAAAATGAATCGCAACACTCTTACCATCTATTACAGATGGCTATTGAAAAGACTTAGCCCTCTGCCTTAGCTACTAGCTATATTTACACCTGTAAAACTCAGTTTTTGAGATTTTCATTAATTTGCTTATGGACATACTCAACAAATAGAAAGCTAGGATGTGGCTTCAAAGCCCCAGGACTCACATGTGTATCTGTTTTACTACCTTGCCTCTTACTAACCTATAACAAGCTACTTGGCCTAGTTCACATGAAGTTTTTGTGACTTTTATGCCTTGCATATTTATATTTATCTGTTGTGTTGTTTGGTGCTATGGTTCATTTATTGTCTTTGCGATGGAATATGTATTGGGTACAGATCCATGATCTGAGTTCATTCTTCAGTGATGAACATTTAAGTTGTTTCCATTGTGGGACATGCTGTTCCAGAGCTTCCAGGCAGGGACATTTGCCCACTTGTTATCCAAAGAGAGTAAGAACTAAAGGGGAATGGATTCACAGAGGAGAGGCAGCAAGGCTGCTGTCCTGGTTTAAGAAAGATTTATCAACCTCTCCATCTCCCCAGTATTCTGTGTCCCAAGCCTGCCAAGGCCATGGTCAACAACTCATGAAGTAGGCATTTTCAAAGTTTTATTGTAAAATGGAGATGACACATACAACATACATTACTGAGTACCTACTAAGGGCTAGGCCAGTGCTCGGTCCTGCAGGGGAGCTGAAAACATACAAAGCATGCTCCCTGATCTCTGGACCTCACTGACTGGTGGGGAAGAGAGACAAAGGCACAGCCATCCTTCACACGTCTTAGTGTCAGAAATGTCAATGTGATCAAGGGATGATTTGTAGATCTATCTCTGGGCAGAGCAGGAAGGACCCAAGGTACCACGTTTTTCCTGGGGAACTTCTGATGAGGGAGGAGTACTGCACACAGTAACTATCTATTGTAAAAGGTTGGGAGTTGATGGTGCTGGGAGCCAGAAAATGGTCCCAGATTAAGGGACTATTGGAGAAAGGGGGAAAAAATCATGAGGTCAACAAAGTCTGTTAACTTCATTTTTATGGTTTGAGGCACCACAAAAAGAAAGGAAAGCAAGGGAAATAGCCAACTGTTGCCCCATGTTCACAACCATTTCATGACTACAGGGACACTCTAATCCTAAGTCCATCTGAGAAAAAAAATTTTTTCTTTTTTTTTTTCTCTTTTGTTGGTCGTAGGGCCTGAATACTGGGCCTGGGCGCTGTCCCTCAGCTCTTCAGCTCAAGACTAGTGCTCTACCACTTGAGCCATAGTGCCACTTCCAGCTTTTTCTGCTTATGTGGTGCTAAGGAAGTGAACCCAAGGCCTCATGCATGCAAGGCAAGCACTTTACCACTGAGCCACCTTCCCAGCCCCCTTATCCCCCAATTAGTTTCTTTTAATCTTCTTCTTACTAAATAAAATTGGCTTGTTAAAAATAATCATAAACTACTTAATTTGTATTTTTCAGAGCCTTAAAAATATCCCCATGGATTGGAGTGCAACTCAGGGATAGAATATGTTTGGCCATGTAAGACCCTAAATCTACTCTTTAGCACAAAAACCAAAGCACAACCAACAAGAACAAAACCTTCCCCATTGACTGGCATTGATAGATGAAACAGTGTGAGGGGAGCCACTTGGTGGCAGTGAGTGAGGGTCCTGATGGATTGGGGTCATGGATGTGGCGTAGGATAGTGGAGGAGATAGGAGACAGGGGGAGAAAGAAGGCACTCAGGCAGAGAAGGGAGTCTGGATTTCACCCAGAGGTCAGAAGAACTGTGAGCATGGGACTGCCATGGCCTGATTTGCGATTGGGATGATCATTCTGGAGGCATTGTAGAGAGAGAGTCAACTGAGAGGCTGCAGGAGGAGTTGTCACCTCTTTTGCTTCCTTCCACAAGGCCACCAGCCTTTGGGCTCCTAAGAGCCCAAAGATGGCCAGGGCAAAGAGTCAGTCTCTGGAGTCACTGATGGCCCAGGAGTAGGGAAAGGCAGGTCTTGGCAGTACTACTGATCCTCCTGGAAATAGAACTTGGTGACCATGATGGGCTCTTCTGGTGTATTGGTGAGGCTGACAGGCTGGTCAGCCTCCAGTGCTGTACAGAGGAACCAGCCTGGGATGGCAGCTGACTCAAAGGTGGTAGTAGGGCCATTGTCTGAACGGATGAAGGTGAAGCGTTTATCTTGCTCCCTTTTCTTGCTCAGGTCAGTGATGTTAACTGCCTGGAAGTAAAAAGATGGTTAGGTGAGAGCTGAAAGTCTGGGAAGCTTGTACTGTCTGCCTCCTCCCAGATATACTGATGACCCACAGTAAATACTAGAAAAATGCCTGCCTAGAGACCTGCAGAGAGATCACAGGTCAGCACTGATACAAAGTGTTGTCCCATGGTCACACCTTGACTTCAAAAATCTTGCTGCTCTGTGCTGACCATGGGACAGTCAGTCTGACAAATGGCTTCATTACTCAAGGCCAAGACCAGTTGAAGCTGGTGCTCTGTCAGGGACTTTCTCCAAGGGAAAGGGTAGAGAAGGGGCAGAGAGTCTCACAGTTCATGACGCATGATACATGCAATATCCCAGCCATCTCTGTCAGAAAAGGCACAGTCTAAAAAGCTGTCACTGTCCATTGGTGGAGAGAAGTGACCGTACCATGTTTGTGGACATAAGACTTGAGTTACAATCTGAGACAAAGTCACCTTTTCTCAGGACTGGACAGACCACTACTATTACATGAACTCAGAGAGTGACAAGATTGGATGCCAACTTGTCAAAGAGATAAGGAGTAGAAGAGAAAGCTCCTGAGAGTTAGTCTGGCTGGAAGACATTACGTACAAGTGGGAGCTCCTGAGCAAGATTGGCCCATAATCATCCAGGTCCTGCAATAAACTATCATGGTGATGTTTCCCATGACATCACCATGTTCATACCCTCATGCTGTCCCCGACCACATTTTAGCCCACTTTAGCCAGACTGGCTTTTGCCAACAGGGCCACATAAGCCAGAGTTTAATGAGCACTTTCCTATTGAAGCTTATCTTTCTGGAATAACCCCTGATGGCAGCAGTGCCAATGCTTAAAGCAGTCTCTAAGTACAGTAAAGAATGCTGAGACAATATGAAAGAAGGCTAGCAGATAGAAAACAGCTACAGAGCAACCCCTGTTCATGTTCTTGTAGTTAGCAGAACTTCCCCATTGATCTTAGTCCACTCAAAGAGTCATGAGAACAAACCATGGCTGTTTCAAAGTACTGAGTTTTGATACCTGAAACAGATCCTTACCTCCAACTGGAGCCTGATATTGTCACCAGACTTGACACAGGACAGGCATAGCTTCCCCCCCTGGATCCCCAAAAACACAGCATGAGAGTCAATGGGCACCACATCGATCTTTTCTGGAGAAGAACAGAGGGGAGGATTAGGAAGAAAGAAGAGGAGGCTGAAATGGCAAAGAGACTGGGCATTTCTGATGCAGGATTTCAACTAAAATCCCAGATCAGAAGGACAGCAAGGCCATGTCTCGTGATCTGCATTTAAACAGAAGGTAAAACAAAGCATACAAGTAACCAAATTCCTCCAAAAGACCAACACTTCCAGATTCTTCCCCTTATGATCTCTGTCTCTTCACTTTCCTAGAAAACTTGTGCTCAGACCAGGCGCTGGTGGCTCACACCTGTAATCCTAGCTACTCAGGAGGCTGAGATCTGAGCATTGCGGTTCAAAGCCAGCCAGGGCAGGAAAGTCGGTGAGACTCTTATCTCCAATAAATCACCAGAAAACTGGAAGTGGTGCTGTAGCTCAAGTGGTAGAGCACTATCCTTGAGATGAAGAACTGAGAGGCAGTGCCCAGGACCAGAGTTCAAGTCCCACAACACATCAAAAGAAAAAAACAAAACGTGTGCTCAGGTCAATAAGAATGTTGTGGATGGACAAAGAAAGGAACATACAAAGTTATGAATGGGATCATGGGCCTGGGGACTTAGAATCTGCTTTTTTAATGCCCTCATGTATTAGTAAAAATTTCTGTTTTCCTGTGCTTAGCATGCTTTAGGGAAAACTGCTGGAAGGGCATAATATGTAGATCTTGCATTCTTCCGGAGTAGACTAAGGCACAGAAGGCAAGAGATACATGGAAGTTGTTCACGTTAAGATAATGCCATTCTACAATCACAAACAGGGAAGTGAAATACTCTAAATGCCATGCTAAAAGAAGTTGGAGGCCAGGCACCAGTAGGTCACGCCTGTAATCCTAGCTATTCAGGAGGCTGAGATCTGTGGATCACAGTTCAACACCAGTCCAGGCAGGAAAGTCTATGAGACTCTTATTTCCAATTGACCACACAAAAAGCCAGAAGTGGAGGTACGGCTCAAGTGGTAAATCACTATCCTTGAGGGGAAAAAAAGGAAAAAAAAATAGTTCGAGGACAGTGCCTAGGCCCCGAGTTCAATCCCTAGAACCAGCATAAAAAAATTAATAATAAACAACTGAGAAATAGAGTAGGAAAAGCTTGCTAAATCATTCAGTCTGTCTGGAGTGTCCTATCTGTGAATAAGGGACACCAGCCAGCTTTGTATATGGCATATATAACTGGGTAGGGTTAGGATTTGAATAACATGGCTTTATGGGTACTTTTAATAGGTGCAGAAGCAAAGGAAGGGCCAGTCTTGCCTTGCCTTGCCTTGCCTTCTGGCCCTTGCTCCTCCCAGCTATGTCCCTGGGACACTGACAATAGGTGGTAAGTCTTGACATAGTCTCTACTCCCCACTCTTCTGAGGCTGCTTTGCAGCCTCAGTCTGCAAATTCAAAGTGAACACGATTAGGAGATTCCAACTAAAGCTGTAGGGGCAGATCATAATGCTGCAGACTTCAGGGGCAAAGTGACCCTACGCATACACAACAGGGATTCTCCTAGCAACGACTCACCTTCTAATTTAGTATTTAGCCCTTGCAAGTATCCAGCAACTAGTTGGTTATTCCTCAGGTAGAAGGTCTTCTGGTTAACATCCCAAATTCTGAAAAGGAAAAGAATTCAGCTATAGTAAGTTCAACTATGGGACATGTCCTGCATTCAGCATCTTTCATGTCTCCTAGATCTCACTTAACCTGCATCAAAGGATGTGGTATTTAACATACCCACAACATAGATGAGAAGACTGAGGCTTTTAATAGCTAAGCAATAGGCCCAGCTACCATAGCTGGTGAGCCAAAAAACCCTTTTCTAACATATCCTCTCCTTTCTCCTCATTCAACACTCCCAGCATGAGCATATCCTGTTTCAATAAAGAAAGAGCCATCCATCAAAGCACTGAACAGAATTTCATGGGATGCCGAAGTGTTTTATACGTACCCTATTCAATATGGTTGTCACCAGCAACATGAGACTATTGAGCTCCTTAATTGGGAGTTTTCATTTTCTCCTTCTTTCGAATATTCATTTAAATGTAAATTTAATTAACCACTTAAGATTAGTGGTTACCACAGCACAATACTAGAATTTCAAGGGACAAAACATCTTGTAGCTAACTCACTCACTCCTTAATCCTTGGACTGGGAAAAGTCTGCCTAATAGTAAAACTTTTCTTCCACCAGAATCCTGCTCTGGCAAGGTGGCAAGGACAGCTGTCCCTGGGAACTTGGCTTTCTCTTTTGCTCACCCAGAGACCCATTTGTTGGCTTCCAATCCTGTCTTCTATGGTGAAGGGACCCTTCATTAAGAGAGCAGAGTGGGCAGCTATGAGCTGTGGTTAAACAGGTTTGGTCAGCATGGCTTTGGATTTGTGTCTGATTTCCTCATTCATGAAGTGAAGCTAATAACCCCTGCTTTATCAGGTTGCTTTGAGCAGCCAGTGAGGTTGGAGAGAAGTGGCCAGATAAAACAATGTGCTTTGCATGTGTGAACATTTGACTTTTTATGATTATCCTTCATTCCTAGATGAGCCTCAATCTGAAGAGATTCAACATCCCTGTTAGGGAACTCCAGGGACATCTCCTGGGACTAAGAAAAAAAGTGGGGAAACTCAGAAAGGAGATAGCTCCCAAGTCTGGTGGAAGGGACTTGGCTTGGGACTCAAGGGCATATATACACTTAGTCATCCAGTTTGCCTTCACTCCCAGGAAAGGACATAGGGGACAAAGCATGCACAGACAGTCCATTTATTACTTTTCATGATAACATTACTCCAGGCCTAACCAAATTTTTTAAAAAAGTTACAGTCATTTTCTGGCACTCTGCAATTCATAGAACAGTAAAATAGTATCATCTGTGCATTTTATCTTTACAGAAAACCTGGTGAGGCATGCAGTGGGTTATCATGAACCCCATGACTCAGATGAGTCTCCAAGGAAGTAAGATCCTCCAACAAATTGACACATGTAGTAGATGCTGGCAGTTGATCTGGGCCTTTAGGTTATACCTTGCCTGCAGTTCCCATCTTTGCAAGGCCCAAAGGCCAGCATGATTCCTGGGCACATGGATATCATTCACTGGGATGCATGCCTGAGTCTCTGGGAAAGAGAACCCAACATGTAAGCCCTGTGATTCCATCTAGTATAAAACAGAGCATATAGCAGGCTTTTCTTGATTCCAGCCCAAACCCAGCCCTCAGTCCTTGCAGAGCTAGTAACCCACAGATGTGCTGTGCTTCCTCTCTTTGGCTCCTCAGCCCCATATACTTGGGAGAAGCCTTACCTGAAGACTTGCATCTTACAGAGTCTTCTCCCAGAGGGGCGACAGGCTGCCTCTGAAGGGAACAGGAGGAGGAGAAGAGAAATTAGGTAGCTGTAAGGACCCCCGCAGATATCCATCCTGTGAACACAGCAAGGCAACAGAGTGCCATTTCAGCTCCAAAGATGTTCCTTATAAAGAAAGCTAGTCACTCACCAGAGTCAAGCTGTGCTGCTCAGCTGTACTATAAGAAGCGGAAATGCCCTCACATTTCCAAAAAGAGAAACCCTTGCTGTTGTCACTTTCAACCTCTCCAAGTGTTGCAATGGGGTGTTGTAACTGATCCCCTCCCCTTTTTCCCTTGTGCAATTTCCCCAAAATTGAGATTTCTATTTCCCCTTCAGTGGGGGGTAGGAGGGAAGAAGGCGGTCCTGGGAAGAAAAGCACAATGAAAACCAAACTCCCTCATTTGCCTGACAGGTACTCCGAGACTGTTGGCTTTCTAAAACACAAATCAATGAAAATATTCCCCATTCATTATAAAGCCAAGTGACAGAGATCCCAGCATAAGGGATAGTCAGTCACAAGTCACTTTGTGTTTTTGTTCAGACTGCTGGACTCTGGACAAGAGGCTGCCAAACATTTTGTCCAGGACTAGGTTGTAAATATTTTGGGCTTTGTGGGTCATCCAGGCTCTGACACAACTATTGAATTCAGATATGGGAGCTTAACTCCAATATAATTTTACTCCAATACAACTTTATTTATATTTATATAACATGGGGTACTACAGGTAAAATTAAAAAATAAAAATAAATATATAATAAAAATAAATACTTAGAACAAATATGAAAATTTCAATAAGCATCTAACAAGAAGAGATTGTTCTTGTTTTTGTTGTTATTGCTATTGTATTATTGTGACATATTTCAAAAATTATGTATAACAATGTGCATAAATGTAAAAAAATGTTCAGTACCCCCCAAAAAAGAAAATTAATGTCGTGACTGAAGTATCTTGGACAGGAGGCACAGCAAAAGAATGACATGCCTTTTTATTCAAAGGGCAGTTCTTAGGCCTGTAGCTTTGACATCACTTGAGAGTTCACAGAAATTGAGGTTCTTCAGACTTACCTTTGAGCTACTTAAATAGATTAGATTATGATTGAGGAGAACTGGTATTCTATTTTTTTGCTCCAACATTTTCTATTTTCTATGCTATATTCTATACATCACCCCATACAGTTTTCTATTCTTTCTTCTTATCCATAATTCATGTAAATATTTCTTTAATCTCCAGTCTTCTTCCTATCTTCTTTCCAAACCAGCACCTATACTGACTTATTTTATCAAGCAATCTAATCTTAGGTATATAGATATATATCACATTTTCTTGATCCATTCATCTACTGAGGGGCATCTGGGTTAGTTCCCTAACTTAGCTATGGTAAATAATGCTACAATAAACATTGTTGTGCTGGTAGCCTTAGTACGGCCTTCTTTGTGATCGTTTGGGTAAATGCCCAAAAGTGGGATTGCTGATCTTGAACAAGCCACCTCATTTTTGTAGTCCCCTTTTCCCCATTCTCAGAGTAAGGAGGATCATATATCTTCCTTATAAGTTGAAAGAAAAAAGTAAGAAAAGAAGACGATGGAGAAAGCCAGGGAAAGACAGATGGAGGAAAGAGAGAGAAGGAAAGAAGGAAGGAAGAAAAGGAGAAAGGAAGAAAGAGGAAGGGAGGAAGGAAGAGAAGGAGAAAAGGAAAAGAGGGAAGGAAGGAAGGAAGGAAGGAAGGAAGGAAGGAAGGAAGGAAGG